TTTTTTAAAAATTTTAACACATGCCAAGAAAATATAATGGGGATATATACATCTATATATATGTATACATATATACTCTTATATGCATACATACATATATATGTACAAGTATATACAAGTATTCAATACTTGTATATATTTATAAGTAGATAGATAGATGACAGACAGACAAATAGACAAATAGATATGCAAGTATTTAACAGTCAATAACCACAGCTCACTAATAGAGTAGAGTAATTGGATGGAGGACTTGAGTATAGGGAACATTTAAAACCCTTTAAACCAGATGTGGTGGTTCAAGTCTGTATTCGCAACATTCAGGAGACTAAGATAGGAGAATCTCAAGTTCTAGACCAGTCTGGGCTGTACAACAACACCCAAGATACAAAATCAAACAAAAGCAAACTTTCCTTCCCTGACTGTTACCCAGTTAATAGATCCTACCCCGTGTTTGATTAATAGAACAGAAACATGATCAGACAGAGTGCTCTTGGATTATTTCTCTAGCTCAGAAGCAGTGATTCCATTTAGCTCCCTGCCATCATTGAACTCAACTGTAATCTACTAAATACACCAAGATTCACCTAGTGACTCAACATCAAGTCTGTTGGCAACAATGTCTCTCTCCCTGCTTTCTAAAATCAATGTGAACAATCCAAAATGGAGGTTCTCCTTCTAAAAGGACTCAAATCTCTTTCACTTCATTCCCACAGGTAGCATGTAACTTCAATGTAGTAGAACCCCAGTAGATATAATCTCAGCATCTAACTTCCTGCTCATATTCCACATGCACCACTCACTTAAACACACACACACACACACACACACACACACACACACACACACACCCCAGAATTTGGTATAATATGTTATAAAACATGGTCCAAGATGTAGTTTCAGTCTATTACTATTATCAATACTTACATGGTTATTTTTATTTGCTATGGCTTTGGCTTTTTACTGACATTTATAAAATAAGAAGCCATTATTTATCCTGGTTCTTTTTTTTTTTTTGG